TCAAATAATTTAGCACTCTACCTGCTCTGGTTGCGGAGATACGTAAATTTTCACGTGTTCATACGTGAGTGGCAAAGTGAATGCTGTCTTCATGCTCGCTTGCTCAAACACGGTCTTAGGCCACATTCAGAAAATTTCAGCGCACCAGTTACTCTGTTGCGGAGTTACGTCAAATTTAACGTATGCATATGTAGCACGTGAAGCATAAAAGAAACGTGAAAATCGTTTTTGCGTCCACCTGGTTAAACGCTGTCTTCGGTTATGCTCAGAAAGTTCCAGTTCTCTAGCTGCTTCAATCATAAAGTTACAAAAGTACCTGTGTGATATTTTCACGTGCCTGTCGTGAGATGCAGAAGGGCCAGAAAACTCAATTTTCTTTCACGAACACAATAGTGGACGACAAGTAAAGCTGCAAAATCACGCCTCCTAGAACTTCTTGGTCAGCTTAAACCTGAATCTGGCACGGTGCCAGTTTAAACTTTGACTTGTGCGTACGTGAGGCCTAGAAGTGTGTGAAGGCTGAGTTTGAAATGTTTGGATTAGACTGGCCGGAAAACATTTCCGTAAAGTTTCAGCCTTCTAGCTTGCGCCATTCCTGAGAACGCTTTTCCGCTAAAAAGCTTTTATGTACCCACACGTGAGAATCACATAAACATATTTCTTTTGAGGTAGGGGATGCAGAAGCCTTGTAGCTTTTGTGGATCCCGAGATAAAAACACGCTAAAGAAGTACACACAGACACACACACAGACAAACACGCACACCGACAACCCCTTGACAATGTGCATTTTTGCAGTGCGTAAATGCAAAAAGCGCATAAAAATGAAGATGTTTCAGTGAATGCAAAAAATTCAAGCCTCGACATAAAACAATGTGTTTCTATAGCATTTTGTGGAAACAAGCGAAACACATTCCTTCCTAAATAAAAGCGTACAACTTTAATACATGCAGAACTAACGCACTTCGCTCCCATTATTTTTCTTTAGAAGGAACATGCGTCACACAACTGGCAACTGTAAATTACAAAGTAAAAATACCAGTGACATCCGCTTAGATAAAAGAACACACACATCAAGCTTGCCGATGCGGTCATGCATTTGTGCACGGTTTCGTGCATCAGAAAGATTGTTAACAGTAGGTGCGTTATAGATTTTATATGTTCGTTCATGCTAACAACTGTTGTTAGTATTTATCCCATACTTGTGAGAGTGAGAGCCACTGGCTGAACCTGCAGGTGAGTTGGAGTTTTAGCTTACTGGCATGTCTGAGTACAATCAAAGAAGATTTCAACAATTTTGCAAGAGGAATTTGTTGTGTCCCGGACATAGGACAAAGATGTACATGGAAGCTTATTTCGCATTTTCCGGCGCGCACATGAACAAACATCCATACAGAAATGCAGCTTTCTACTTAGTCTGATTTCCGAGTCAAAGGCCGTCAACGTACCAGTCCCGATTTTCACTTTCTCTTACTCAGTTCGTAGGTAGCTTCGGAACCGGATTTAAATCTTCACATTGTGCTTAGGCAAAGAATTACCTAGTAAAATTTCAGCTTTCTAGCAAGCCGTTTCCGGAAGTCACTTTCCGACAAAAATCTCTTTGACGGCTGTGTGCGTAAATTAGGAAAACGTGACATGCAGTGGAAACTGGTCACATTTCCTATAATGCTCGAAATTGAGACTGATTCACACCAAGATTTTTTTAATATCTCTGTCAGGCGTCCATGTACGGGACTTAGATTTATGTAAATGCTGATTTTTCTTCTATGGGCCCGCCCAGAAACATCCTTGCATGATTTCAATTTCTAGCTTTTCCGATTTAAGCTAAGAGAGGGTAACAAAGTCCGAAGCATAAATGTACTTATCCTTGCAGACAAGTAGAAAGCTGGAATCGCGCAAGGACGTGTCCGAAATGTGTTTTATTTCATCAGTAACGCTTGAAGTGAATAAACCCAGGCTGAAGTGCATCAGGCTTGCTGGTACGATTATGCGTTTTTGCACTAAACTCACAGATCGCTAATAGCAGGAACGATTCCAGCGCTGTAGCCTAACACTTATGCTCATATTGGCCGTGCTTTGGTCTTTTCCGGCCTACGGGGAAAGGGCGTCGGTTGGGATGAAGGTGTTGCATTATAGGGCGCACTGACCTCCAGGCACATGATTACCAGTTTTTTGCATGAAGCCTCGTCGTTTTCTCGACAAATGCTCGCTTTGTGAAAAAATGAAAAATGCAAATTTTCCGAAAAAATGCACATTTCCAGTTCACTAACCTAGGCTGGAACCCACCAGGCGAGCCGGTGCGATCATGCGTTTTTGCACCAGACTTGAAATAATTAGGTTAACTGCATG